TTCAGAGTACACACAAAATTGTATGGTTAACTGCAGCTCCGTGACGTTCTACGACGTCATCTTTTTTGCCTTTTTTCAATGAGGACTACATATCTTCTGAAACTGATTTCTTTTCATCACAGCAAAATTTTAAGTCATAATTTTGAATCAGAAACGATGAAACAATTCTTAAATTGAACGTGTAGATTTTTTTCCGTTTTTTGTACCATTTTATAGAAGATGTGACTTCAGGCATTATTTAGTGTCTTGATTGTAAAGTGCAAAATTTTGAAGTGTTCCGTGATCCGATCTGCGCATTTTTAAGTCTAAATAAGTTTGAAATAAAACACGATATTTTAATTTTTATTATACACATCGTTTGAATTTACTGTTGAAATTTTTCTTCCAAATTTGGATAAAATATGACGTTAAGTAAAAAAGTTATGACGGTAATCCACGAACTTTCCGAACAACCCTCATACTATGTGACTTCAAAATAAAATCATGTAGAAATGCACTATTCAATGATCTCTATGTACTCAGACACAGTGGATAGTTCATTGTAATGGTTTTCTGGTGGATTATCAACTTGCTCTGGAGTTAGAGTGGTATAAGCTGAATTCGGGCGACCAACAGTGGATAGTTCTTTATAATGGTTTTCTGGTAGATTATCAACCTGCTCTGGAGTTAGAGTGGTATAAGCTGAATTCGGGCGACCAACAGTGGCTAGTTCATTGTAATGGTTTTCTGGTGGATTATCAACCTGCTCTGGAGTTAGAGCGGTGTAAGCTGAATTCGGACGACCAGTTGTTATAACAGGTTCTGAGTTCCTTTTCAGGCTGCCCTTATGTTAATCATGATTGTTCATTCTGTACAACAGTAATGTTGACATGTAAATGCACGGAATACTTTCATTTTAGTGTGATTCACATGTATTTATTTTTTCGACTATTTTAATTTTATAAAATTCATGAATTGAAGAATTCTCATTTTTTAAAAAGTATTTCTTACTTTTCTGAAAAATATGTCCCCAAAAAACCCGACCACAAGAAAATACCGAGTTTTTTAGTAAAGCATGCTAATAATTTGAGCTGACAAAATGTTAAATTACGATGAAAACTGAACAATTTTGACAGAGGTTTATTCTAATATACGTTTGGAAGAAAATCAACATCAATTTCCGAATAATTGAGCAACATTAAATAAGACCTTAAGCCAAATTATTTACATTTGAAAAATGAATGCATGTATACATAGCAACGTGGTACCTTTTACCTAGTGATGACGAAGGTACCGATGCCAGTCAATGTGACCAATATCCCTGAAATAACCAATCCAATCAGCAGTCCTATATATTGAACTAAAACAGAATATATAATATTTAATTTTTATAGTTTATTTTAGTATCAATAATATGTTTTTGATGATCTGCAATAATTTTTTTCAAACCTGTATTCATAAAAAAACATCGATCATTGTTTCGATTACCTTCAAATCAGACAAAATTTTTGAAATTAACTTTTTATAATGAATTGAAAATTTATGCTAATAATTTTTACAATAGGTGCTTTAGCAATCGACACTGTATTGTTTTTTGTTATCTTCATATTTCATTTTGATACTATTATAGCAAATTCCTCATCAATAATTTGTGTAGATCCACTCTTGAAAGGATTTTTTCTGTTTTCTTTCTCATGTAAAAACTTAATTCCCTATTAGTCTCATCCTATCCCAGGGTTCTTGGTAAGAATAAACCTGAATCTGAACAGCTTGAGGACGCTTGCATTTGTATTTCTGCTGTTCTTGGGAAGACAAGTCAAGATTTTCCCCAAGTATTCCCCTGTCAAACTTTAATTTGGTATTGTGGCTCTTACATACTATCATGGGGCAATATTTTTAACAAATTTGAATCTGCACTAAATGAAAATACATGATATTTTTTATCACTTATTATGATTCTGCTGTTTTTGAGAAGAATAGTTTTCATTATTTTCCTATATATTTCTTTATAAAACTGATTTCTTATTGTGACCCAACCTTACCCACTTGAGACAATTATTTGAATAAATTTGAATCTGCACTAGCTGAGAATTTGCATTTTTATATCACAAATCCTGGGCCTGATGTTCTTGAGAAGTTGAATGTTAATCTATTGTGGACCCAATTTTACCCCCAGAGAGCCATAATTTGAACAAGCTTAAAACTTTTTCAGGAAGCTGACACATAATTGTTGTCTTTACTGGATAAATGGTTTGTTACATTTGGTAAATTAAGACAGACGGCTTATTACATTATGTAGTGATTTCCCAATTTTTTTCCAAGTTAAAATATATTTCATGATATTATCTCCCAAATCTCTATTGAGAGACAGGGTCGACTATACAATATTATTTCAATATCATGATTTCCCTGTTCATATTTTTCTACTGTAAAATCATATATTTTAGTGGGATCAAATTTTCGTGGTTTGAGGAAATATATGGGTTCGTGGGGATTTGATTTAGTGGATAAAATATTGCTGAGAAGTTATTCATATGAAATTTTACATTTCGTGTTGGACATGAATTCATGGGTCTCTTTCTAATTCGAAACAACAAAAATTAAACCCCCGCGAAAATAAGCGATTTCACAGTATTTATATTTTCATAGCCATCTACTTAGATACTAATGAAATCTGATTTTGTCACATATCCTATATCTTTATGTACCAAATAATCATAATTAATCAAATTTTATCAAAGATAGATGAATCAGTGGTATGTCTTATTTACACACTGAATTGTCGACGGATTTTCCCGTTATTTCTTGATCATGACAAGGAGCACACGGCGGGTGTGACCGGTCGACAGGGGATGCTTACTCCTCCATGGCACCTGATCCCACCTCTGATGTTTTGGAGGTCACACCCGCCGTGCTCATTGTCATGATTGGGAAATAACTGAAAAAATCCGTCCGCAATTCAGTGTGTAAATAATTGCCTAACAATTAGTATGAAAAACGTCAGTCAGCATTTGACTCAATGATAAATTGTATTTGCTGACAAGTATTGTATCGACCATAGAACTTATGAAATGGCGACTTTAAAAGAGACTGCTGATATTCTTGTTTCATCAACTTGTTTATCAATAACTTACCACTTTTTAGAAATTGTTCATACGTAGAGCATGCTCTTGCGAATCGAATCAACTGAGAGATATAAACCCCGTATGCAGGTGATGAAGATTTATGCTGCATAAGTAAGGAAAGCTGACGACTGAAAAGTTAAAGTCATCACGTTTTGCATAAAGCTTGGTTGTTAGATTACCATTAACGTCTTTTCTAGTAAATTATCCAAATATGAAACAGATGTGTCAGACTTTGTGATATCTTTTATTTCAAGCTCACCGGGATGTATCGTATCGACATAAGAATGGACATAACCATTGTTAATTGACAATACGTCGTCGATATATCTTAATGTCGAGTTGTTAAATTTGCCTTTCAACAGACATATTTCATTAAAAATGAATTCGTAAAAATTGCTTGAAAGCCTGCGAAAATGCAATACGATCAAGTCTTCAGAGGAGGTCTATGGTGCACGGGGTAACTGCAATAGGGGTCATAGGTCATAGTCGTGGGATTAAATTTCAAAATGTTTTGAGTTGTTGATCGAACTTCATAATATTGGAATTCAAAATGATGTAGTGGAAAATAAAATATTAACAGAATTCAGCTATTCTTTTTACAGAAATGTTGAAATACCCTAAAGAGGAATACCACAAAAAAAATATTTAATGGGTCTTTAAAATATCTCTTCAAAATATAATTTCATCTTTGAAAGATCAATATAAGCTGTTATATCATTGTATTAATTTAAAAAAAAAACAAACAAACATTTTTTGGGGGTATTTTTTTTCAGACAGAGATGAAAATTTGCTGCTAGTTAATGTTTGTTATAAATGTCTAATGATTATATGTCAAGAAGGATCAGATAAACATTCTTAGTATCAATATCAAAAGAAAAAAATATTTATAAAAATGAAAGACTATTTGTTAACGTTTATGAAAATCTATGGATAAAATACTTCAGATACTTGTCCCTGATAGAAAAGAAATTAAGACAATTGTACTTTAAAAAGAAATTGAAATGCACTTTTTTAAGGAAATTTGCAAATTTTAAATTTGGACAAATATCGATTAAAAAAAACTTATCCTCATCAAAAGCATTCAAAAATCCCCACTACATTACTGCGTATCTGATGCAGTTGCACTGAAAAATAGTTCAATTACTTTGTAAACTAAGTTACAGCCAAGCGACTTAGTATCCTTGTGAAATTATTATAATTCTGGTCGGGATCAGATGAATTTCATCGGGATTGGTCCCAATTTCAAGTTAAACAATAATTTTTAAATTCTGCAATTTCATTTAAATTTCCTTATAAAATACGATTGTTTTATATTTTCCCTTATAAGTTTCAATTTCTCTATGAAATACGATTGTCTTATATTTTCCCCTATACTTTACAATTTCCCTATAAAATACGATTGTCTAATATTTTCCTCTATAAGTTACAATTCTTTGTTATTGTGATGATTTTACCCAAAGATTTAAAAATTTTAACAAGAATGAAAAAGGGGTAAAGAGTAAAAAGGGTAAAGATAACGAACAGTGATCAATCTCATAAAAATCCACAAACGATACAAATCTGTGAACAGGATCTAAAATGCAGATCCCCGAAATTCCAGAGGTAGGATCAGGTGCCTATGAGGAGTAAGTATGCCCTGTTGACTGGTCTCACCCGGGCCTAATAATTGGTATGAAAGACATCAGCCAAAATACGACCCAATGATAGATTAAATGTAACTTAATTTCTTTAAAAGCATTTGGCAACTATTGTAATTCAAAGATTTACACCATTATGTTTTCGGGTCATAGTAGTAAATACTTTCAATATAAAAAATCTTGTGTGAGCGGTCGCATGCCGAAGCAAATATCTAAGGATAAAACCATATTCCACTTGATATTCCCCCTTATTACGTACCATCATTCAAATCTTTTGTTTCGAATTTTTCCTCAATTGTTCCTAAAAGAGAAAAAAAATATTTTCACCACACTACAGGAGAAATTTATTTCTTACTTCTTTTATCTTTCATTTAAAAAAAAATGTACCCTTTATGCAGAGCGATGGCAATTCTGTATCACAGAGAACCTCCTGTAAGGGAATTTCACTTCTTGGTATTCTTACAGCAAGACATCCAAACAACGGCAAATCTATTGAACCTAGTATTAAAAAAACATAAACAGAATTTTTGTACATAAACCATCGATCTATCTCCTAAGAATCAAACTTAGAGTAGTTTCTAAGTACTTTACCATAAGCCCATTGTCTTATGCTTTTTCTTGCAATTCCAGTCCACCAAGGTCCTCCTACAGCAAGATTCCGATATAGCGCAGAAATGCTTGCTTGAACCCCATCAGGGCAACTATTTACGGCCAAGAACCAAGAGGAATTATACTGACCAACTCCAGATTGACCTATTTATACATGTATATGCTTTAATCAAATTTGATATTGGGGATTGATTTCATCCTTAATTATTTTACATGCATACCAAGTATTGGTAAGAACCATTAAGGGAATTCTAAACAGTGCACATTAAAGTGTTCTAATTGTAGTGTAGTTTTATGCAGTTAGAATGATCTTCTAGAGATGTAAGTTAGAATAAAGGGGATTCTACTGTTAATGACAATTTTAAATGGATTAAAGTACTAGTTACATATCATTAGACACAGATAAAGTAATTAAATAAATTTTTTCATGTTTTTTTCTGGTCGTTCTAATGACCTTGTTAGCAGGTACAATTTAACATTGGGTCGTATTTTGTCTGACATATTTCATAGCAATTGTTAGGCCTTTGTTTTTATTCTAAATTTAGCTACGGATCAATCCGTCTAAGTGATCAATACAAAGGGCTTAAGGTGGGTGTACCGGTCGACAGGGGATGCTTACACCTCTTAGGCACCTGTTCAAAGAGCTGGAATTTCAATTGGTTGATCCGTTTTTATGCCATGTTCTTGAGATCGATTATTGTTTGTTATCTTCATTATTTCATATTCCCAGTGTAGGTAAACAATATTGATTTCTCTTCACTATCTTTGGTTGTCTTTGAACATTTTTCCTGGGGAAATATGGCATGTGCCCTATGCTGAAATTGAATAGATAAACTGATAATATGTACTCTTTTATATGGCATACTATGAAACCTGGCCTGACCTCCTTGGCCTGGCCTAGCCTCTAATTTGGTTCCAAATCAAATTTTTGTCTGGCCTCAAAAGTTGGCCTGGCCTCGATTTGGCCTCCGTAAAAAATTTTGGCCTCTATATTAGCCTCACACAAAAATGATTTTCTTTTTCATATTTTGATTGGTTTCATTGATTTTTTCAATTGCTTTCAGTTTTCTAGTTAAAGCAGATGAAAAATATAGTCATGTTGATTTGTAAATGTGCACATTTAATAATCTTGTACTACCACCAAACTGATTTATTTTATTGATTATACATCAATCAATTTACATATATTACTTTTCATAATGGCACACTACTGGTACAATTGATTAATTACAAAAACGTCTCAACGTTTATTTTGTATTTTCCAAATTGTGCACATTGAAAACAAACTCTAGTAATAATTCATATCAAATGTCATAATAAATAGCTTAAAAAAATCCCACTTGTTAAGAGATGATTCTTCACCCTTCACACACTGCACTGTAGAGTGTTGTCTTACTGTTATGTCTCCATTCTCTTGGAATTGATATACGAAGTACAAACATCTAGGAATTTTTAATTAAGAAATGAATTTAATAGCTACCCGTTTTATACGGTATAAAATGGGTTGGGGCAGTTTGCGCTTTATAAAAAAGCGTAAACCGTTCCAACCCAGTTTATACCGTATAAATTGGGTAGCTATTAAATTCATTTCTTATAATTTAATTTTCATTCATTTGGTGTAAAAAAAAAAAAAAAAAAAGGATGATTGTCTTTAAGAAATAATTTCAATTTGTACAAAATTTGAATGTAACGTCAGGCGGATCGATACGTTTTTGAAGCAAGCAATGTGACGTAGTCAACCCATTTTATTCGATATAAAGGAAATTTTTTATCCAATCAAATACAGCGTTACAACCAGAATTAAATTATATAGTAATACACTACCATAAAGTTAACCAGATATCAAAAATGTTTATATTAATTTCACTCATTTGACTACTCTTTTTAAATCATTGATTAATCTCAAAATGAGATCGAATTTAAAACTTTCAAAAAAAAAAAAAAAAAAAAAAAAAAAAAAAAGAAAGAAAAGTTAATCAATGATACGACATACATGTGCATTGTCAGTTAAGCCACACATGTTTTGTAAATAACTTGCTGCTTCAACTTTCTTTTCCCAAAATTATCAAAACAAAAAGTGATTTTGATACAGTTTAATAACATTGATGTTATGAGACTATTAGGACCCTATAGTATTTGGCCAATCACTTGCATATCACAGTGTTGACAGTATTTCTATCATTTTAAATAAAAAGGTCCATGTCATAAAAAAGTTATTTTTTTTATTAGTTTGAACATAATTTATTGTATAAGTAGTATACAAATGGTTTGAACACAAGTTCTAACAACTTACGAGGTTCTCACTAGATACATGTATGGCTAAAATGTCAATATCTATAGAAAAAAACTTTGATATACAACTATGTTTGTTTTGAATATTCATCTTTTACATGATAAATATATAACTAACTAGAGTTTTAGTGATATGCTGTAATAATTAATTGAATCTATCAGATTCTCTTATAAATTTTTGTACAGATTGAAAAATATATTTATTGATTTCAACATCTTGTGATTAATCTCCCCACAGAAGTAGTTGACAATCAATAATCTTTAATTTAATATTTGGTTTAGTAAGATATTAAAAACTTTTTAAAAAGTTCCTCCCTAGCATGTTGATACTTATTACAAAGAAGAAATGATATGGGTCTTCTGGTGTACACTTTTCAAGTAGCTGTCTAATAAAAGTTATGTACATTTTAGATAGTGTGTTTCTACCAAAGTTGAAGAATTTACCATGGTGTCAATTCCATAGATATAAATGTCGGATGACCGATAATTTTGATACAATCTTCAAAAAAGATGATCAGAACTTATTCCTCACTTTTGCTTGCTTCAATTCAATGATGTTAACAAGTTTCATGCTAAAAATAAAGGACGCGTGACCTTGACATTCTTGATATTGACGATAAAAATGTACGCGATAGATACAGCATTTGTTTTACCAGCACTTACATTTTGCAGTTCTTTTCTTGCTTTACGGTGCAGTCGAGTTTTCAAAACTTTGCTATATTCATGTCTCACATAAAGTTTTTGTTTTGTGATACAATTATCTTGAAAGAAACACATGATTTTGACTCATTATGTAACTTTAATGCTTGTACTATAGTTTATGAGTACTCGTGTATTCAAATCTACATCGCTGTCATTGTACTTTGGGGAGATAATAATTAGATCTTAATGTAAAAAATAATGCTTTTGTTTTGGATGGTTTGAATTTCATAAGCCATTTGGATGACCACTTATCGAGTATTTCTAAATTGTGATTCAAAATATATTCAATATTAGCAACATTATATGAAGAACTTTGCAACGAGTTATCATCTGCAAACAATCTACACAATGAAATCATGTTTCTGACATATCATTAACATAAATCAACAAAAGTAAAGGACGAAGAACTGAACCTTGTGGTACACCAGCATTAATGATTCTACTAGTCGAAAAAATATCTTTATACATAACTTTCTGCCTTCTATTACATAAGTAACTCTCAAGCCAAGTAAGTATTTAACCACATAAACCGTATGTCTTTAAATTTAAAAGAAAACCTTTATGCCACAATCTGTCGAACGCTTTGGACAAATCACAAAATGCCATGCAACAAAATTTGCTTTCATCAATATTCTTAAGTACAAACCAGTAACACTTTAAATAACAAAGATAAATTCTTTTTAGTTCTTAGGTTATTATTACCTATCTGCACTCATTTCTTCGTTGTCTTGACACTTTAAATTTATTCTTCTACACTTTTTAATGTGTAGATTTCATCAATTCTGTCTTGGAAATTAAATAAAATTAAAGTCACATTAACTTAATCATTGTGGTTTTGTGGTATTTTTGCATTAAAAGTAAAAAAAAATATATGTTCTGTGATAGAGTTTTCAAAATTGAAATGAAATACGTGGAGATAACGAACAGTATTCAAGCTCAAAAGTCCATTAAACAATACAAAATAGGAGCAAAACAAACACGGATCTCCAAATATCAGAGGTGGGATCAGGTGCCATAGAGGAGTGAGCATCCCCTGCCGACCGGTCACATCTGCCGTGTGCTCCTTGTCATAATTAGGGAGTAACAGAAAAATCCGTCGACAATTCAATGTGTAAATAATGGCCTAACAATTAGTATGAAAAACGTCAGTCAGCATTTGACTAAATGATAAATTGTATTTGCTGATAAGGTCATTGTATCAAAAATAAAACTTACGAAATGATGACTTTGAATGAGACTGCTGATATTCTTTTTTCATCAACTTGTTTGTCAATAATTAACCTCGTTTTAGAAATTATACATAAGTAGAGCATGCTCTTGCGTATCGAATCAACTGAGAGATATAAACCCCGTATGCAGGTGTTGAAAGTATATTGCTGCATAAGTAAGGGAAGTTGACGATTGAAAAGTTAAAGTCATCACGTTTTTCATAAAGCTTGGTTGTTAGATTATCATTAACGTCTTTTTCAAGTAAAATATCCAAATATGAAACAGATGTGTCAGACTCTGTGGTATCTTTTATCTCAAGCTTATCGGGATATATCGTATCGATATAAGAATGGAAATAAGCATTGTTAATTGACAATACATCGTCGATATATCTAAATGTCGAGTTGAAGGCCACAGCAAGTGTTTTCTTCTTTTCACGTATAAGATATTGGACAAATTCTGCTTCATATGAATACAAAAAAGGTCTGCTAATAACGGGACGCAATTGGTATCCATGGGAATTCCAATTCATTGTTGGAAGACCTGGTCTCCAAAAACCACATAGATATTGTCAATCAGAAACTCAAGCATCTTTTTAATGTCAACTTCAGAGTACTTGTGTGTACAATCAGAATGTTTTTTAACAAAATAACTTTGCAAATGACCATTGACAAGGTAAGTAAATTTACGAGTTCCATTTTTATTGAAAAAGCAGCTGTCAATTATATCAAAAAAGCCTGGACATTAATTTAGCGTGGGGAATGGTTATGTATAAAGTTGAAAAGTCGTAAGTTTTTAAGCTGTTGATTTTGGTAAAATCTTGTGATTTCAAATTTTCCAAAAGTTCCTTGGAATTTTTAAGTATCCACATCTGATTTACACCACTTCTCGAATATATTGTTGCACAGTACTCTCGAAGTTT